CACAGCACTTTTTGAAATAGGGTTGCTTTTCCATGGTACTACACTTGATCTCAGCCAAAAGGCTTTTGTATTAATCTGTTAAAGCTAGAGAAGGGCAGAGGGAACAGAAGCACATAGCAATATCTCACACACACACTTTACAATATGAACAGGACAAAGGAAGAATATACATTCTAACAACTGAAGCAAAAAAAGCAAAGATGAGAGAAGTTGTCTGGAAGACGACCACGGAGAAGAGGCCTGAGCACTCATCCCTTGTCTATAACTGGGGGGGTGGGGGGTGTTTGAGCACCAGTTCTTCGGCTAGAGCTCTAGAAGTTTTCAAAACCAATTTCTGCACAAAGACAAACCGACAAGAACATCTACTGCACTGTAAACCAGACAGAGAGCTGCAGCCAATTAATTATGAGAACTAAATCAAAGTCTGAAAGAAGCCTCTACTACACACTCCAGCCTCTGCAGGTGGTACATTTACCTGTTTTCTGTAAAAGGTACAGAAGTACAGATTGCCTGAGTAATCTGTACCTATATCGAAGTATGATTTAAGAGCCTTAGACTACGTGCAAGAGGCAAGATCTCAGAGCGGAAAGCTCACACCCATGGCATTCCATTCTCTCTAACATCATCTCCCTCCCTGCCACCAAGATACTTGCATCAGAGCCCTATACAGAAATATTTCTCCCTGCTCCATCACAGCCAGAAGCCTCAAAGTTGCCTAATGCACATGGAAGGGGGGGGGAGGGGGGGAAAGCCTGGCTCCAGAAATCTCAGCACTGTTTCCCCAAGAAAAAATATTACTATCCACATAAGTAGCTTCTCCCCCCCCCCAGCCTTTTGAAGAAGGATTAGGAAACAGGGGGCATTAGAAGAACTAAGCATCAGTTTTTTCGCCCAAAGCTTCAGGGGCCCTAATCCTTATCATCCCCCCACTTTACCCAAACCAGTTGTTCTTTGAAACTGAGGTGGGATGGGGGGGGGGAGTGGATCTGGTTGGAAAGGGGTCAGCAAGTCACCAGATCCCAGTTCACTGCCTCAAATCTACCCAATGCTCAACTAGCAGGAAAATGCATCAACAAGTTATGAGACACTAGAAACAATAATCCCATCATTTATTCCCAGTGCTGTCTTGAGTCCAAGAGAACTAAAGGGTGCCACAACCACTCAACTCGAAAGGCTTTCTGCAAATTTTACAACTCAAATATTAAAATATCTGGACAACTGCCCAAACACTACAAATTATGCAAACTCGATGAGCTGCTTTTAAACAGCCAGTTTTGTGTTTTCTGTTCAAAGAATCAAGGAAGGGTACTTAGAAGACGATTCAAGATCTTTTGCCAGCTGGCCATAGGTGGCCAATAATCAATTCACGCAATTCAAAAAAACATCAGCTACATCATCTCAGCATTCCTTACAGCCTCGTGAAGTAGGTCAGTATTGTCTCCATGAAGGTTTGGTCTTCAGAGAAACTCTTTCATGGCCACCTAGCAAATTCTGGCTATGGATAAGTAATGTACCACCCACACATATTACAACACAGTTTTATACAGGTTTACTCAAAATTAAGTCCTTTGGCTGCACTCCCATGCACAACTGAACTGAGAATAATTGCATATGAATTCAGGCCTTATTCCAAACAACGTGAATAGGATCAGACCACTAGCTATCGCACTGCACCAACTGACAGACTCTCTCTCTCAGCCTTTTGTACCACATCCTGCAGTCTACTGCAACCATCTACATTTAATTCTGGGGCTTTCAGATAACTGGCCTTTTGCTTTGGGCTTCAGTTACCAGATAGTATATTAATGGCTACGTAGGCAACTAAGAACCCAGATGAATCACAGTCTGGATTCCATGTGAGATTTTACAGTCTGTTCCTCCCACTTACAACCAGGTCAGGAGAGAGAGTAAAGAGTGTTTACACCACTGAAGGGCAAGGACAGCACTACATTCCAGCAAAAGGCAATTATTCAAGCTATCGTCTTATGGGAAATGCAATTCATTCCACCCTACGAAACTACCTCGCCTTGCCAGTGGGAGGAGAGATTCGGTCACAGCCAGAGAGCATGTGATATCCATGCAGTCATGTCCCTGGCTCTCAAGCGTGTCATTTAAAAAATCCTCATTGCATCAGAGGGACTCCTAGAACAAGGTTGCCTCTGACATGAAGAAAACCCACTGCAAATGATTTGGGGGAAATGAATTCTGGTGAAGTAATGTGTATTGTAGCAACGTCACACAGACAAAGGAATCTTATGGTTCTGTAAAGACAGTTACTATTGCAGAACAAGGTTTCGTGTGTAACAGTAGATCTGGTAGCCTTTTAAGGTGCCACCAGATTCCTTTTTATGTTTTGGGGAAATAAAGGAAGCTATATGCCCAGGCCACACTTAGCTACAGAATACCTCTACCACTTACCACAGATTCCACGTGGTGTTCTGCAGGACTGTTGCAGACAGAGGTGGTGCTACCATACCCTCCACAAGAAGCTCCCACATCATCATCATCATCAATACTCGCAGGCCGCTGTGGGCAATAAGTCTTCAGCCTCTCCAAGTCCAGGAGGCTGCGGGGCCTCTGGTTGAGCTGTCTCGATGACCGACCAGGCAAACGGTGTTTCTGTGATCGCTGTACAACCTGGGCTAGTTTCTTGCTGACAGACAGGTTCCGGTGATAGGGTCGATCTTGGCCAGGATCTGGTTCCGCTCGCTCTTCCGCTTCGGGGCTGCTGTCGTGGGATACCACAGTGGCAGAGTCCTTCGCCAAAGGCTGGAAGCCATCCACACAGTCCAAGGTAAAGCTCTTTTCGGAATCCACAGGAGTGGAGGGGGAGTGATCGCCGCTGGCCATTTCCACACCAGAGTCCTCCGATTCAGACTTCAAGAGCCTCCCACTGGTGGGTATGAAGCCCAGCTGGTGGTTCAAACCCTTGTGGGGAACAAGCTCTGTCGGCGACCCAGCCTCACCCCATCTGTCCATCTCACTGCTTTTCTTGCCATCCAGCTCCAACTTGAGGGAGCCCTCCCTGGGAGACTGAGGGTCTTGTAGATTCCGGTACATGCTGATTGAAGTCAGCACCACAGAGCTCTCTAATGGCTTCCAGGCTCCATCTGCAACTCAGAAACGAAGCATGCTGAGTTAGAGGTAAGCCACCCCCATTCCTCAGAGAACAGAAGTCTAACACCTGAAACTATGCAAATATATTACCTAACTTGTAGGTAGCCCCTCCCCTTTCCCCAAAGCTCTCCTTACTCCTTTAAACCACCAGCTTCTGAGGAAATGTACTGCTTGCCACATATGCATTCCAAGAATATTCCTCACAGGTCTGTGATTCAGGAAGGAGGTGCCTTTCTCTTTAGAAAAAAAAGGCAGTAGAAAAGGAACAACGAGAATCGCTGAGGAAAGGTTTGTGCAAAGAATAAACATTGCATTTGGACTTTGGGATGGTGTGTGTCGCCCATCGCTGATACCCCACACCCAAACTCCTTTCACAAAGGTGTGTGCCTTTTAGTGGTTCATTTAAAAGGATGACTGTTGTAGCAACAAGAGATCTTATGTAAACTTCCATTCCTACCAGCCTTGACCCACAAGTGCATTTCTGTCTGTGACATTCAGCTTCCCTTCAGACACACTTTTTAGCCCAGCAAACAAACCCAAACACATTTCTATGAAAGTTGGTCTCACAGTGAACACTCCCAAGGACTTAAGTACTTATTAGTGTAGTGTGGTTAGGGTGCTGGGCAAGGCCATGGGTCATCAGGCCGAAATCCCTGCTCACCATGAAAACTTCACTTGGACCAGTCAGTTTCTTTCAGCTTAAACTACCCGTCAGAATTCTGTGAGGATACAATGGAGGAAGTGAAACCTATTCCACCCTGAGCTCCTTGGAGGAAGGGCGGGATAAAAACACAATGAATGAATAATGAACTTCTCCATCAATTATCTTCTATCAAGGTCGTACTCTCTTTACCACCCACCTTCTGAGCTGACACAACTGGTCACCAGAGATTACTACCTTCCATGTGGTGGCACCTCAGCTACAGAACTACTTCCTTACTTCAACTTTTGAATTATAACCTTTGTTATCAACCTCATAAGTCATCATAATAAGAAGTAGGACAAAAATCTGCTGAACAAGTAAATGATCATAATCAAGGCCGGCTTTATAGCAAGGCAACAGCCTGGGAGAGGAAATGGATGGGGGGGGGGGCTCAACAGTCCCCATCACTACTCCTGCCTCACTGCTGTCACACACACACTCCTCCTGCCACTTCACCCTCCCTTCCCCTGCAGGAGACGAATCTGTGTGTGCCCAAATAGGCTTCCTGAACTCTTGCAATCTCATGAAAATTCAGGAAGTCCTGCTGGGCATGTGCTGTTTGCTGCACTGTCTTGCTGAGGTGACATTTTGTTGGGTTTAGCAAGTTAAAACACTTCAGTAATTATAGAGTTTGTTTGTTAGTCAACAGAAAGCCACATGTGTTTATTGTAATCAAGCTGTTATCAAGTGAGAAAAGCCCACAAATCTGGTAGATCATCTTAGTTTAATGACCTGAACTTTAGCACTGTGACTGGAAAATCAATTGGCTATTTTGCATATTGGGGTCTCTTTCCTGTCTTTGTTTTGCTTGGAGAAGAGATGCCATTCTTCTAGTGTAATCTTCTGGCTGAAAACAGGTAGGATTTAGTGTCTGTTGTTTTAAACCTCGTTTACCTTTTCCCTGTTAGTTCAAGTAAAGCTATATTCTTTTTCAGACATACACATGGACTCTGACTTTCTCACTGCTCTGCTGATTTAATCTCTGCTAAAGAATATTTTTCTAAGAATACCTTTTACATTTGTACCAAAGATTTATCAGCTCAGTACACTCTCATAACAACAATACTAAGTTGTGCTGTTTTAGCCTTGGTGGTGGCTAGAATGACCAGCTGCCACTGCCAGTTCATAACCCGGAGACAGAACAAGTCCTACACTATTCCAAGGCAGTGGCAGCATAGGCAGCTGCTGAATTTTCTTCCCTAAGCCCCTCACCTGTCGTCCTCTCCCACTTCCTGCAACAAGGAGAGCTCCAGTGAGTAGGGAAAACAGATGGAGGAATTAGGAGGGAGGTATAATCATCACATACCTGCTTCCTCAGAATCTTTAAAGGGATAATAAGTACCTTGAATCTGGCAGTCTTTTCTCAGCAACAGATGTCAGAGGTACCTGTAAGAGGTACCTGTGCTGAAAAGTGAAATTTCCAGCAGATGCAGGCCACTGCCAAGGCAGCCTTTTACCATCTACGGCTGATCAGGCAGTTGGTCACCTCGAGATTGGACTACTGCAACGCTCTCTACATGGGGCTGCCCTTGTCCCAAATTCGGAAGCTACAGCACATCTGGCCTGTGCTGAAAGCATTGCACTGGCTGCCAATAGCATACTGGATTCGCTTCAAGGTGCTGGTTTTGACCTTTAAAGCCCTATATGGTCAGGGGACTGCCTACCTAAGGGACCGCCTTTCCCCATACATCCCCCAGAGAGCACTGAGGTCAGGGCTGCAAAATCGCCTGACTCTCCCCGGCCCGAAAGACGTCAGACTGGCCATCACCAGAGCTAGGGCCTTCTCAGTGGCGGCTCCACACTGGTGGAATGAGCTCCCAGAAGACACCAGGGCCCTGAGGGACCTCTTACAGTTCTACAGGGCCTGTAAACCAGAGCTCTTCCACCAGGCTTTCGATTAGGAGCCGCCACTGATGAATGAGCATTAAGAACACTTATGGATGCTGGCCTGTACAGCAACCGCCATCTATACTGATCTGCAGTTTACTTGTATATTGTTTTATGTGTTTTATTGGATTGCATTTATCCACTGTGTTTTATTGTATTCTAACTGTTGTACGCCACCTTGAGCCTGCCTGTGTAGGCAAGGCAGGATACAAATCGAAAATAAATTAAAATCAATCAATAAATAATGACAGGCTAAAAAGAGGTTTACCTGCTCCAGCATGGAAATATGAAACTTTAGGAAGAATAAAAAATTGGAGGGGAAAATACGTGATTTGCCTTGGGGTGTGATAGGGAAAATCCAAAGCTGGTAAGATGGAGTCCGTTAAGAAATATTTTCTCTCATGTAACTTGGTCACTATGGTCTTAAGTCAGGAAATTCAAACCCTGCCTTTGCCAGGAACTCGTTGACACTTTCAGCCAGCCTTTCTCTCTGGCACCCTATCTGCAATACTAATAAGTCCACTTTACAGGGTTGTTGTAAGGATAATAGCTACAAGTGCTTAAAGTACTCAAAGGCACTAAATAAATGCTACATGTTAAAATGACCCATTAAGATACAGAAAAGCTAATTTCTCAGCTCACTAAAAACATTACTTATGCATACCATTTCTAAACCCAGATACTCCACCCCCACCTACTGACAAAGATATGCATATATTTCTTAGCAGCATATCATATAGTGCCTTTCAAACTTGTTATTCAATAAAAAGGCTTTTGTACTTTGTACTGCATAAATGTGATAATGCCACTTCATATTCCAAGATATACATGATGCATTTCAACTTCTTAAAGTGGCTTCTTCATGCAATTTCTGAACCCAGTCCTCCTTTAAATAAAGTTTAGGCTGGATAAAAAATATATTGTAATATTGATTTAAGAAGCATGATTTTTGCTCCCCTAATTTAATCTTCCTGCCTCCCTCCATATGATTTGTATTGTATTGTTTCTGGCCCTCACTATAAAGAAATACACTTAAACTTGGACCCTATACCTATTGTCATCCAGATTCTCATATGTCAAGTTGGTATCATTCAGCAATCTTCCAATATCTGTTCCCTCATCTGCCCAGTTCAGCTTCTATTTTCATTGGGTATTCATAAAATACTTATCATTTTGTTCTTTTCTTCCTGCCACACATCTCTGCAATGTCCATTTTATTCCTGACCTGGTTGCTCTTCTGAGTCGCATTATACACAAGGCGGCCAAGTAGGTCAGCACAGGCACACCTGGTAGACACTCACATCCACCATCCTGCTGACATCCCTCCTTAAATTCCAAGCCCTTCCCAGTTCTCTTCTACCAGGAACAGGAAAGCTACTGACTATAAAGAATTATGTTTTCAAGAGAACACAGCCTCCAAACTCAGAAGTGTGGCAAGGCTTTCACTGTGAAGGCACTACTAAGGGTATGGAGTTCTCTTCCCATGAGACTCATTTTGCACCCCTTTCCTTTTTTTCTTTTTAAAGACAGCAGGCTTAAATCACATTCTATTTTGAAGGGGGTTTGGGAGTGTGTTACAGTTTATTGTTGAAACATCTATACCTCACCTTCCTCTGAGGACTCCAGGCTGTCTTAAAAAGAAACACTAAGTTGGGGGGGGGAGGGGAGAGAGAATAAAAACCAACAGCATAAAACGTACACCATCTGACCTGCCTCTAATACACAGTACCATTACTGCAGAGATCTATCACTTCTTTAGCCTCCAAAGGTGGCTCTCTAAAATATAACATCTTGACAAGCCATGTGACATGAAAGTACCCTGAAATGAAAACACCATGCCCACAGATCATTTGAAAGGGTTGGTTCTGCCTCTGAAAATGCCCTTGCCCAAGAGTGAACCCGTTCGAAAAAAGAGCATATGGTGAGGAGACAGATGTACAACTGGCACACCGGAGTTTGGCTTAGTACTGCTGACCTGTTCAAGGTTTAAGATTATGCTCATTTTATTACTGTTATCATCAACCATTTTTGTGGGTCTAGCTGAAAGTGGGTTTAAATGTTAACATACTTTTTAGCTTGATATTGGCACTACAATCTTAGATCAATTTTCTACCACTTTTAACTGTTATTGTTCCCTCTCAGATCATCTGAGGAAACGGCAGTTTGGATGATGAAATGCTGCAAATTGTTAGACAGCCATACACACATACAATACTTAGAATCCTCAGAATCCTCAGCTTCCTTGTAATGACAATTAAGCCAGCTCAGGTATACTGTGGATCTGTCCCATAACCTTCTTGCCTATATCCCAGTATTTCAGATCAACAAAAGGACAGATCTCACTTGACTGCCAACTGAAATGGCCCTGTGTTTAGATTCCTGTGGTCTTGACCTCACAACCCT